TGTTTTAATGTTACTTAAATCTAATAACATAGTAACCTTACGTCGGTCAATAAAGTACAGTTGGAGAGACAAAACTATTCACTATAGGTAAATAATATTTTTTTCCTTAATTCATCTTTATTCGAAGAAAAACTCCAAGCAACGGATTACAAACCGCAGACGTTAAATATTTTTTTAACATATATATAATTATATAGATTACAGTCGAGGCCGACTCGGGTGGCTATTTTAATCTAAATATAGTGTTGCAGACTGCATGTAATAATTTCAAAATATCACTAATACACTGTTCATAAAACTTAAATTTATTAACAGTGTTTTTTATACGTATTCAATGAAATACCATATGTTATAGCACCCACCGGTACAGAGAGATTTAAGGTAACGGACCAATGAGTCGTGTTTATTTGATAATCTAACGTTTTAGCATTCAGTATGAGTTTCATATGATGGACTTCAGACTGAATAATTTACCGGGCATCACTGTAAAATTATCTAAATCCTCGACTATATCAATATTTAAATGTTATTTAGATCTAATAACATAATCTCCTTAGTCAGTGGTGGCCTAATGGTTAGAGGGCCCGCCTCTCGTTGCCGAGGGCGCGGGTTCGATCCTGGCCCGGGCACGTACCAATGTGATTTTTTCGAATCATATGTACTTTCTAAGAATATTTAGACATCACTGATGAATGCTGATTCCCAAAAGAGGGTTGATGTCAGGCAGGCGGCCCGTCATAAAATCCAATTAGCCAAAACTATTCACAACATGTAAGGCAGACCCTGGCTATAGCCGGGAAATTGCCATGTAGAAGAAGAACAGAATCTCCTTAGGTTGATCGAATAAGTATAGTTGGAGGAAAAAACTTTTCACTATAGGTTAATGAAAGTCATTTACTTAATTCAACAATAAACTTTATTCCAAGAAATCGTAGGCGTTATTTTTTATATATTATTATAGATGAAGTTAAAAACTTTAGATTAACAATTTTATTTTATGGTGATCATATTAATTGGCTATGATTTATCAATTAAATAACAGGGATTGTATCAGTTTATAAGATGAATAAATAATATTGCAAAACGTAACACTAGATTTTTTCTGCTTAAAACTTTATTTGAATATGATAACGATAATTACAGTTTTTACAAACCTTGTTTATATTGATAATTTGATTGTGAAGCAGTTGATTTTTTATTTTCATGACCTACAAATGCAAAAATTCTTATAGGTATATACATAAATAAAGTGTTGTTCCTTCTTATTTAATGTTTTATTGTTTGTATAGGTAATGATCTCACTTTTGAGACTGCTAATAATAATATTACATATTTTATTCTATAGTCTTCAATAACGGAAGAGCAGTCTGCAATGCATTTTGTTACCTGTGTTGCGATACCTTTAAACTTTCTGTTTATTTACAACATCAAGAAAAGCTTATTCGTTTCAGCAAAACATTAACTAAACTTCAGTTTCTAAATTATTATTTTTTCCTTACAAAAAAGATTGATTACAATTTTCATAAAAGCTTATTTTATAATACCTACCTAGTAGTAAAATCTTTAATTTGTGCATTCCTACTTATGCGCCCAGTAATGTATTGGAATACTATGCCTTCGTAAGTTTCTTTTTTCTAATTACTAGGGTTGGTTTCAAGGATAGAGGGAATAAGTTGTTATTGAGATTAGTGCAAGTAAATTCATGTAAATAACCAGTGCATATACTATCCAAAAAAACAGATAAACCTTCAGAGTTATATTCTTCCTTACATTGCAACTCACACATTGCTGAATACGGGCATATACGGGCATTTATAATTTCACAATTTATTAAATTTTAAAACGGTCATCTACTACATAAAGTAACAATAAACATTTTCAACCATACGCTAGCGCCATGTTAAGACAATCTGACCGTTACTAGTACTCACTCACTGTTTTTCTTTATATAAAACAAAGTATGAAAATATTTACATGTGTTTTAAAACCTTAGAACTTCTATTGCTTATAACACTGCGATTCTTTTAAGAAGTATGCTCTGCGCTGGAGAAGTATTTTTAAATAAGTTGAATATGTACGATATTATTAATTTGAAATTATATTCGAACACTTGTTATTTAATTCTTTGCAAAAATGTATGAAAACATTATTATCAGAATTTCATCTACTCCTATTCTTGTCACACACACAGCACGCTATCTCTGATTAGGGCAGATAATAATAATTAATTCTAAATCTAAGTGGCAATCATGTGAGAGTCGAATAGGTACCAGAAATTGGAAATAAAAACAATTTATTCATGGATAATTTTTATATAACACAACAGATAAAATCATTCAAATGGGATGAAATTTAGATCTCTCAATTATTTTGATATATTAAAGCACAATTTATATCTATTAATATACATTAATTATTATTAAATTACAGAATTTATCCTAGGATGTGTATATATGTATATAACAGTTACAAGCATAGTTAATATATTCTACATCGTTTTATTATAATTTCAGGGCCCCCTACCTCCACCAGCTTGGATGTCAATATTTGAAGCAGTAGATGACCGAACTATATGTCCTCAAATAAACGTAACAGGTTTTATTCCGGGTTTGAAGGACATGAAAGAGGATTGTCTGGTTGCAAATGTATACGTACCTAAGACGCAGAAGAAAAACCTTCCAGTTGTTGTATACGTACACGGCGGTGCATTTTTATTAGGATACGGTACTCTACTTACACCAAAGGAGTTAGTAAGCAGCCAAACCGTGCTAGCAGTAACATTTAATTACAGATTAGGAGCACACGGGTTCCTATGTTTAGGTACTAAAGACGTCCCTGGTAATGCTGGTATGAAAGATCAAGTGGCACTGCTGCGATGGGTAAAAAAAAATATTGCGAGCTTTGGAGGTAACCCAAATGACGTCACAATAGCTGGATACAGTGCAGGGTCAACATCAGTAGATCATTTAATGTTGTCGAAGATGGCTAAAGGACTTTTTCATAAGGTTATTCCGGAAAGTGGTGCAAGTACTTCACCTTTCAGTATGCAAGTTGATCCTATACAGAATGCAAAAGAATATGCCAAGCTAATAGGCACAGGAAATTTCGACGATATATTAGAAATGGAAAATAGTTACAAAAAAGTTTCATATGAAGTTTTACAATCAGGAAACCTTCTAAATAGAAAGGATTTTACATTTCTCTTTGCTCCTTGTATCGAGAGAGATAATGGACAAGAAATATTTCTAAAGGATGACCCTGTAAATATTTTAAAACGAAGTGATTTTCCGAAATTACCTATGCTTTATGGATTTGCTAACATGGAAGGGTTGTTGTTGATGGAAAATTTTGATTTGTGGAAAAAAGAAATGAACGAAAATTTTGCCAATTTTTTACCAGCTAACTTAAAATTTAAAAGCGAAGAAGAAAAACTTTTAGTAGCTAATAAAATTAAAAAGTTTTATTTTGGTGATAGTGAAGTAGATAATAATACTATTCTACAATTTGTTGATTATATGTCTGATGGATATTTTACATGTCCCACATTAAGAGTTGTAAATCACTTAGTAAAAGCAGGACACGGTGAAATATACTTGTATGAATATTCTTTCACAGACGAATATTCTCCAGTTATACCTTACACTAATGTACGTGGAGCACCTCATTGCGCACAAAGTAACGCCGTACTTGACGGGTTCGATCCGTCCATAACAAAACAATATTCTTTTACAGATGATTTTGTTATAATGAGGAGTGTTATGAGGGAGCTTTGGGGAAATTTTATTAAGAATGGGTACGTTTTTAAGGAACAAAATATTTATTAAAGACAGTTAATTTAAAGATGATTAAAAACACTTTATAGGACTATGTTTCATTGAGAAGTATTTTTTTGTGATATTCAAATTAGTTTATTATAATGTAAATAAGACCTTAACATTCGTATTTTTGAAGGGACCAATTTTATTTTTTGATTTGTATAGGGTTAATTTATACTACCATAGAAATTCCCCTTATATATATATATAAAATCAAATCTTTGGAGAACGCAACCCTCAATGTAACTTCTCAATGAACAAAATATCTAATGTTGTGATTTCGGTCATATTCACAGAAAGCCTACAGCTGTAGGTACTCCGATGTGGCCTGCTGCAGGTCCAAATGGATCTCCTCACATGGTTCTTAAGAAGGATCCTGAAATAAAAGGAGCATTGTTGGAAGAGAGATGTAGCTTCTGGAATGAAATTTATGATACATATTATAAATTCTCTGAACCTCCTTTACGTTCATTACGACATAATACGGAATTATAGATTTTAATAGAACGATTATTATTAACGCTTCAAACATCATTTTATTTCTTCTTTTATTTAAAACGTTTTGTATATTCTAGAAATGTAAAATTAACATTTTCTACAACAATTTTACAGTATTCTTTTTGTAAAAAATGAAATATGTGCTTAATAAAATTAAAAATAAAATATTTTAATCACCTTTTTCTTTAACCTAATTTTAAAATCTAGTATAATTATAAACATATAAATCATATTATTTATTATCGTCTTCGATCTGAGTACACTGATTACTTTATCTACAGGTAGTTTTCATTACAGTGATACTAATCGGTATTATAAAAATCAATGTATTTACGGTAGTTTTTAATAGATACCATAATATTATATACTCTACTTTTTAAAAGATAATATACAGAATTATTGAAAACAAAAATCAAAACAGCAACAACTCATAGTGTTAATAAAGTTGCGCAAAACTTAATGTTTTCTATTTCAAAAACTTCTCATAGAACTGCGTATTGAATGAAAATCATTCAGTCCTCCCAAATCAGGAATTTTAAATAAAAACGAATCAAGACTGAATGGTATTAAACTCATACGTCATAACAAAAGATTCCCGATTCACGAGTCACATGTTTGTGCTGTTATTATGTTACGTCATTACTTGACCTTGGCCTGTAGTCATCTAAATTTTGACTATACATATATTCACAAATCATCAGGGAAAGCTGAATGGAAATATTCTATTTGTACGCCAACAATTGATAAACGGACAATCGTGTCCAATATGGTGACGCCATTGGCTCGCATCATTTGACTGTGGAGCATTCCTTTGTGTAATAAGTCTTCTGGAGTATTTGTTTATTAGATCATAATTTTTTTCCTATACAACTAGTATTGGAACGATTTTAAGAAGTTATTAAGTATTCTGTAACGAAAAACGGAGATTGTCCTTGAAAATAAGAGTGGGATATGTTGTATTCATTTCCATTATAATTTCTTCTTTTTTTACTATCGTCTAATAAACTAAATGTTATCAGTAAAAATTCTAAAATCCCAAATAATAATTTGGACTGAGATTTGATCATACTTCTACACATATTTTTATCTAGTGAATGATTTGCAAAAATGTAATTTCTGATAAACAAAAGTTCACAAGTCCATATCATGTGTAAATAATAAAATTTATTAAACCTACATGTTTAACGTCGAAGACGAGTTTAGAGTTACCAGCATTTCTTAAAATCATAATAGGAATTAAAATGTTTTGTAGCTGCTAAGTTATTTATTTATATTAAACTTATTTATTTATTGAGCAGCCATCAATTAAAAAATAATTTAAAAAAATCTTTATAATATTATGTATATAAAAGTAAGTCGTGTTTGTTTGTTGTAACAAATCTCGAGTTATAAGGGTTGACTTTTGTTGTTGACCAATTTTCACGGTTTTTGGTTCTTGGATTTGTCTCCACCCCGAATAGCAGAAAATCTAAAAAAATAAAACTTAATGAAAACTCGACGAAAACATATCGAACCCGGATTCCCAGGATGGATCGAACTGGGTTGTACCTGTCATTTGTCAAACATTTGTTGTCCATCCTGTCAAACACTATAGGTAATGGTTGACATGAGTTCAGAAATAATGACAAATGATTAACGTTTACGCCTGCGTTCATTAATTTATTTTGTGTAAATTAAAGATTATATTGTATAAAACAATTTCTAAGATTATTTTTTTACGTTAACGAAAACGTAAATGTCTCTTTATTTTAATTATAATTTTTTAAAGATTTTATATAGTGCGCGATACATAAGCTGAGCTTGGCATTTGTGTGACTATATTAGTCTATGTAGGACTGTTGATATTTTTTAAAATATCAGATTTTCGATATATCGATATTTTTAAATATATCAATACCGGAGTTCGATAAATGGAAAAACAATATCGATATTTCGATATATCGGCTTTATTTAAAAAAAAAATCGTAAGTCTGCTCAAAAATGTTTACACAATTTATAGTCCAGTAGATTTATCAAACAAATTAATTTATGAATGTACATAAGTATTAGGTTATAGTTCTTAGTAATTATTTTTAAATTTAAATAATATTTTTAATTTATTTTATTTTTATTATACCAACATTTTTCAGTAAGAGTTTTTGAAAATACTCTTTGTTTTATATGTTCAGCTGTTTGGCTACTACGATTTTTAGGCACTAAAAGATTAAAAGACTAAAAGACACAGACTAATCTACATAGAGCCTAGAGGTAAAGATATTAAATATGCTAAGCTGTGAACGCTGACAGCGACAACAAACAATATTTGAAAATTTTTATATTTTATTTTATTGAATATAATTTTTAAAAAATTAAAACAAAAATTTCCACGAGTAGAAAATTTTAAAAATTATACCTGGAATTTTTGAAAGATAGTTTATTAATTCTAATTTTTAATTAATAAAAACCATCAAAAATTATTGAATGTCGGCTAAGCTAATTTTTATGAATAAAATACGGTAGATCAAGTTTAAAACGATTTTGTAGATCAAACAAATTAGGAAAAAAAATTAAGAATAATTTTTTTTATAAAAAAAATATCAACCATCGATATCCACATTTCAATATCGATATATCGGCCAAAAAAATATTAGTAATAAATATCGATATTTTGGAATAATAATATCGATATTTCGATATATCGTTTTAAATACTTAATCGTATTAAATACTTAAATTAAATTATTTATTTATTTCACTTGTAAAACAGTATGAGTTTTGACGCTGATGAATACAATGATACAAATGATGTCAGATTTTTGTTTGACCAATGGTGGCGCGTTTAGGAAGTTTGAATTTCACGCCCTTATGCACTTTTTGAATATTATTTTAGGAATTTAAAAATTTATGCAGTATGCTTATTCCATATTATGAACAGAATACTTATGTATAAGTGATGGCTTTAAAGTAGGTAAATATTATAAGGATATGTAAGATTTTCAAACGTTATAATTTTGAATGAAAGTATGGTTTTCGCATTTACTACGCAATTTAACTAATTTAACAATTACTACGTAATAAATTATACTTAGATTGGTCTTAGCGTCACTTATATGAATTTAAAAAATATATCAAAGACAAGATATATGAAACGATATTTAAAAATATATATAAGTACATATTAAATGTACTAGTTTTAAAAACAGCCGTCTTCATTCACCAAATATATATATATATATATATATATATATTCTACTTACTAATTAATTTAATATTTATAATACTATTTCAACTTTTTCTACAATCCTAAAGGTATCGAGGTACTAAAAATTTATTATGAGATCTATGTAATACCTAGCTTTTAAAAAATCTTGAGATTGAAGATTATAGAAATCCTAATAAATTTTAAAACGATACCCATTTGATTACTTTGTCCGGGTTCAATAAATTTCTGATTAATTTGAATTAGTATTTTTGTACCAACAAAAAGTTCTTTATGTTTTTATCGATGTTTAATAAAATTTGATTAACACATATATTATATTAATAGTTTTCAACCGCCAAGTAAGTTTAATTTGCACCTTTTTCCAATTCCTACCTGACGACAAACCTGTTATCATGAGTATATGAAAAAAAATTATATATCTTGGGATTACAGTAAATGTATCTTTCGTGTACAATATACAAGCAAGGAGTCTAAAAAAGATACCATGCGGCATAACTACAACCATTTTCATATTTCTACTTGTTGTATTAGTACATTGTACTCTAATTTCTGAATAACTTTAAAACACTACTCTTATCCCAATATCTTCTCATTTTTACTGTGGCATCATTTTTAATGTTACTTTATTTTTTGGTTGTCACAGATATAATGTATAAACTTAATCAATCTTCACATTCACACGGTTAACGGATTGCCAATCAAAATCCCATATTTTCCGACAGAAATTGTAGGTATTACCTTTTTTGTAAGTGTTATTTCTCTTTTAAGTACGATTCACGCCTCCTGGCAAATATTTTAAATATTCTTCATGGGTTGTGAAAAGTTGCACAATTGTCAGAAAATATTATAAACAGCAGGTTAACTGGACATCGGGGAGTTACGTCAAAGGTAATAATTATACAGTAAACAAATTAAGAAAAACTATCAAATTTTATGGGTATAGCAAAGCAACGAAAACAGTCGATGTATTTTGTATAAAGTAAGGATTTGTTAAGGACGACAGAGAAATATATTTCGTCTTTAATAAAACTGCAGACTAGAAATAAAAGCTTAAAGGAAAGGGCGATTTGAATATACCTAATAATATTTTTAATATACTTAGTACATATTTTATATATCTAAAAATCGAATACTGTTGAATTCTCGTAAAATATGCTAATTTTAATATTCTTGTACAATTGGCATTAAAAATTTTTAAGAAATTGACAAATTGCCTCAAATAAAAGAAGAAACAAAAGAAAGTTTGTAACGTTAATAATCTTCAAAGTTATATCTATAGTTCCGTATTTTGTCGTAATGAACGTAAAGGGGGTTCAGAAAATTTATAATATGTATCATAAATTTCATTCCAGAAGCTACATCTCTCTTCCAACAATGCTCCTTTTATTTCAGGATCCTTCTTAAGAACCATGTGAGGAGATCCATTTGGACCTGCAGCAGGCCACATCTCAGTACCTGCAGCTGTAGGCTTTCTGTGAACATGACCGAAATCACAACATTAGACATTTTGTTCATTGAGAAGTTACATTATTCACAACTTTCAAACTAACAACCACAAAAATGAAACAATATTGAGCTCTCAAAAAACGCAAGATTAGATCTAAAACAATTTGCATTTGAATAAACTAATTCAAAATAATAAAAAAGTGTAAGTACTCAGTGATACGTAGTATTTTTTAAAGGATTTGACATTATATTTAATTTAAACATTCTAAAATAAACACATTCTTTATTAAAAACGTACCCATTCTTTATAAAATTTCCCCAAAGCTCCCTCATAATACTACTCATTTTAACAAAATCTTCTGTAGAAGTATTATATATTGTTAAGGACGAATCGTGTCCATCGAGTACTGCATTACTTTGTGCGCAATGAGGTGCACCGCGTACATCAGTGTGGGGTACAACTGGAAAGCTTTCGTCCGTGTAAGAATATTCATACAAGTATATTTCATTGTGTCCTGCTTTTACTAAATGATTCACAACTCTTAATGTGGGACACGTAAAATACACATCAGACCTGTAATCTATATATTGTAGAATAGCATTGTCGTCTAATTCACTATCACCAAAATAAAACTCTTTAATTTTATTAGCTACTAAAAGTTTTTCTTCTTCACTTTTAAATTTTAAGTTGGCCGGCAGGAAGTCAGCAAAATTTTCGTTCATTTCGTTTTTCCACAATTCAAAACATTCTATCAGCATTAACCCCTCCATATTAGCAAATCCATAGAGCATGGGTAGTTTCGGAAAATCGCTTCGTATTAAAATATTTACAGGATCATCCGTAAGAAACATCTCTTGTCCATTATCTTTCTCTATACAAGGGGCAAAGAGAAATGTAAAGTCCTTCCTGTAAGCAAGGTTTCCTGATTGTAATACTTCATATGATACTTTTTTGTATCTATTTTCCATTTCTAATATATCGTCAACATTTTCTATGTCTATTAGTTTGGCATATTCTTTGGCATTCTGTATGGGATCAACTTGCATACTGAAAGATGAAGTACTTGCACCACTCTCCGGAATAACCTTATGAAATAGTCCTTCAGCCATTTTCGACAACATTAAAAGATCTACTGATGATGACCCTGCACTGTATCCAGCTATTGTGACGTCATTTGGGTTACCTCCAAAGCTCGCAATATTTTTTTTTACCCATCGCAGCAGTGCCACTTGATCTTTCATACCAGCATTACCAGGGACGTCTTTAGTACCTAAACATAGGAAGCCATGTGCTCCTAATCTGTAATTAAATGTTACTGCTAGAACGGTTTGGCTGCTAACTAATTCCTTTGGTGTAATTAGAGTTCCGAATCCTGATAAAAATGCACCGCCATGTACATATACAACAACCGGAAGGTTTTTTATATGCGTCTTAGGTACGTATACATTTGCAACCAGACAATCCTCTTTCATAATCTTCGTGTCCGGAATAAATCCCTTTACATTTAATTGAGGACATATGGTTCGGTCATCTACTGCTTCAAATATTGACATCCAAGCTGGTGGAGGTAGGGGGCGCTGAAATTATAATAATAATGTATAATGATTAAGAAAATATTACCAACATATGAATGTGTCTATCAACACACACATATACGTATACATATATACAAGTAAAAATTATTGTATAACAATAATTAATTAACTAGGATATCAAAATCTTGTGAATAATTTAACAAATGATCTGATTCACCTCATATCCAATCACATTCAAAACACTTTATTTGTAAGGTTATAAAAAAACCCTTAAATAAATTATTTTGCATTCCCTATTTCTTTATATGATTTTTAACACGCTTAAATAAGCATGGACTGTACCTATGTATGTAACGGAATCTTTGTGTACGATTTGAACCGGTTTCTAAACATCTGATTAACTTGAAACTTTGCATATGTCTCAAGGACCAATGACAATGCAATAATTAGTTAAAAATTTTCCATTATCCTTGTTAGGGCCGCCGGCTCTTTGAGAGTGAAAGGGAAAGCTTGTGTGCGATCTGCGCATGTCCATAAAAATCGCACTAAAAATATAAAATAAATAATAGTTTAAACTATAAAAGCGTGTTTTTTTAGTTTTTTTTTTAACTATTATTATTCTTCTCAGACTCATCCTCGCCTATCATTATCAGCACTTGTAAAAGACGGTGGGCTAAAAGTATGGGAGTGGGTGAAATATTGTAAAGATTATTTTTGTAATTTTTAACATTAAAAAAAGAAGGGTGGAAATTTAAATTCATAGTAATGAGATCGTATTTAAGTGTATTAAACATGATTCACCTATAACAAACATACAGCTTTAATCTTCCATTATTCGTTAATAAAACAACTAATTCGATATTTTATGATTTACATTTGTGCACAACACAAAAACAAATTTTAACAAACAGCGACTTTGTACAGCGAATAATTATGGCAAAAACACACGAGATTTGACGCAATTTATTTGTATTAAGAAGAAACTGAGAGTGCTGAGTAGGGCGTTAGCATCTTATTTTGGAAAATGTATCTGGTTACTTTTGGTAGATGGTAGTTTTAAAATTTAATATGTTGTGAAATTGTTAATGCCTATAGACGCTGATAGAATAGAATAGAATAGAATATACTTTATTGTACACCACAAACAGTAAATTTTACACGGAAAAAAAATTATAAATTGGAATGTACAAAAATACGGTCTTATCGCTAAGCAGCGATTTCTGCCAGACAACCTTCAATTTGGGGAAATTGTGCAGCGAAAAGGTAGGTGGTGCCATATCTTTAAATATACACTAATACATATATAAATAGATACATACAGTACATACAGTACATACATATATACATAAATATATATACTAATAAATATACATGAACAATTACACATATAAATATAAATGAATATAAAAATATATAAGTCATCTCAAATATTTAAGTACGTCAATAATGTAAACACAAAAGTTAAATAAATCATAAGTAGTAAGTAAAAAGAAATAAATAAAATAAAATAAAATTAACAATTAAAACAAATACTATAAAACAAATACATGAACATAATATAGTGACTAAGTTTCCATAGCCAGATAGTGCTCTTTTACCAACCTCTTAAAAGACAATAGTGTTTGCGCTTGCTTAATGTTAGTGGGTAAAACATTCCTGATATTAAGTAATGTGAGTGACAGTATGCAAATAAGAGTACCTATAACAATGTAGGTCATATATTTGGTTCTTGGGTCGAATGTATATTGTAAAACCATATGAACCAAGTGAATATTAATAAAATACACACTGTATAGTGTCTATTTTATTAATATACAGTAATTATTCCATGTAATCTTAAAGATACCTAAATTGTAATTAAAAGAAAACACACGCACAGAAACTGTTGCACTCGTAAGTGGGGAACGTTACGTTACTTTCAGATCCCAGGAAGCTCTACAACTAAAGAATGGATACTAAACATGCATCTGGTCGTAAAATAATAAAAAGGGAATGCAGGATTTAAAACGTACCGATCTTGTGCGCACTATCCAAAGTGTATCCTATATAATATAAAGAGGCTAGCTACGTTACACCTGTGTTCAAGACTGTTATATCAAAAATTATGGACCAAGAAAACAAGAAATAAAATAAGTGTTAAGTTTTCTTTTCATAAACATACATATATGTATAGTTTTGCAACAATTATGTCTATTATATTTATAACACATTGACTTATACAGAAAGTGAATAGGAAAATTCATCGCTTTATATGAAATCTATTTTTTATCGTGTCTAAAGACGATATTGTTTCTTTAAAATGCAAATCAAACAATTTATTCGTTATACAATTTCACTACTGGAGGAACGTATTTAATTACGACGGTACGTCATAATTTTATAAAGAAAAAGTATTTAAGAAATCTTCCGCGACTTATTTATATGGAGAACCAGAGTTTTGCGTTTGTACTAACTAATAATATTGCGTATGTAATGTTGCTGGACAAGTATGAACATGTTTTGATGAAAGTCGGCAGGGGTTATCGTTCTTCCATTAAGATTTTTAAAAAATCCGAGTGTTTAGCGGCAATTTAACAAAAACTAGGGCCTATGCGTTACCCATTTAAAACTTTGAAAAATAAGGGCCACCCTAGACTACATATGTTATGAAAATAAAATATATATTATTTCTCAATCAAGTTGTCAGTAAAAAAAGGTTGGTAAAAACGTTACTTATCGTTATTCAATACAAATAATGATGCAAAATCCAGTACAAATAATGAAGCAGGAAAAATGGACTTATCATTACATCCTGTTGAGTTTTATATATTATTATTATACATAGTTTTTCATCTCAAACACTGCTACTAACTATGCTATATCAATGATAAATGGTAGCAAACACGACCATCGTAAAAATAAATTGTTGAACTAAAGTTATTAACTTCACATTAATATTTATCAAGCTTTTCCTTACATAACTTACTTACAATTTTAACTTGTTTATTATATTATCTTAAAACTAAAGATAAATAAAATATTTAACTTTTATGAACAGTGTATAAGGGATATTTTGAAATTATTACTTGCAGTCTGCAACACTATATTTAGATTATAATAGCCAACCGAGCCGGCCTCTACTGTAATCTATATAATTATATATAAAAAATTAACGTCTCCGGTTTATAATCCTATGCTTGGAGTTTTTCTTCGAACAAAGATTATTATTGAATTAAGGAAAAAAAATCATTAACCTATAGTGAATAGTTGTGTCCCTCCAACTGTACTTTTTTGACCAACGTAAGGATGTTATGTTATTAGATTTTAGTAACAAAAACATTGTTATGATCAAGGTTTCAGATAAATTTACAGTGATACCAGGTAAATTATTTATTCTGGATTTTAAATTAAAATCATACTCAAAGCTAAAAAGTTAGGTCATCAAGTAAACATAACTCGTTGGTCCGTTACCTTAAATCTCTGTGTACCGGTGGGTGCTGTAGCGTACGGTATTCCATTGAATACGAATATATCCTTCTGGGGATCCTTGTATCCTCGAACTAGCCCGGAGTTTATTTGAACCAAGAGTGATTCACGATCCTTTACATCTTCAGCTAAAACTGAAGCAATCAAGATTGATAACAAAACAACACACGACCGCATTATGTAAGTAATAACATCACACTGCTCACTGTTAGCTAGACACTCAATATTAAACTGGACTACAATTGAAAAACATAATCGGACACTTTAAAACAACCAATGAAATCTTCAATGATAGCAGAAAGATTACACTATTGATAAAAATGGCCTGCATTATTAATATATTTGTTATTATAATTGTTTAGAATCAATCGTATTATATAAACGCAATATATCGCTTATACATTATTTTAAAGCCTTTTTTAAAATCATATCCTTACATGTATTATCCTCACAGGTAACAAATACGAATAGAAACGTACTCAAGCCAAAATATTTATGAATATGCTAGAATAAATATAGCATTTTGTTTGAGGTATGCTGAAATATATTTCAAACGTAATGTTATATCAATAACAGGTTAAAACTGAGTAAAGATCTTATAAATTAATATAATCAAGTAGCTTATGACTGCAACTCAGTCCGAGTCTGACAATTGTTCTCCTCCCTAACAGCCACTAAATCCAAAAATTCATGGTTCCACTCGTGTGGTTCCTATCCCAAATATGGATTATTTTACGATATACTTTTAACGTAATTTCTTGGTGCAGGCGATTTAATAATTCTTTCGCTCACAGAAGCGGATATAGTGACTTAACTACGATTGTTAGATAAATGCTCTTGTAGACATTCTTCTACACACTAATGGAACCTACAAACCCGTAGGATATTATTCTATTTGCAGTACGGGTCACAAAGTTAAGTTTTTTGTAACGGATCTCTATTTGTTTTTTTTAAATAAAATATAGCATTTTGCCTTCCCCGATAAATGGATTATCCAAGAGTGAATGAATTTTTGAAATCGGATTAGTAGCTCCTTAGAATAAGACGTTCAAAAACACAAACATAATCTCAGCAACTTGAAAATCTTACTACAGATATAAAAATACATTTATAAAAATCATAAATTTCGATATTATTTATATTATTTACTAGTTTTTGCCCGCGACTTCGTCCGCGGTAATTTCGTCATTAGTAATATAGGTATAGCTGACCGGGCAAACTCTATTCCGTCTTCAATAACCCAGTATTGGTATTTATTAAATTTCTCCTGTTTCAATCGAACAGAATGATTGACATATTAGTTAGTTGTCAAGTCTAATGTCAAAAAATCGTTTGTATGGGAAATAGAAAAGGGCTGTTTTTAGGGTTTTCCCGGCAATTATTCCAATTTTTCTCACCTTTTAAACCTTCCCTGGACCTCTAGGAGTACTTCAAGACTAAAATTAGCCAAATCCGTTCAGCCGTTCTTGAGTTTTAGCGAGACTAAGGAACAGCAATCCATTTTTATATATATAGAAGATTAATGACATTAGTGATTAGTGATTACAATAAACACAGTGAATACTCTATCTACGCTTCTTCTTCTACCTGGCAATATCCCAGCTACAGCCAGGGTCTGCGTTACATGCCCGCCTGCCTGACATTAACCCTCTTTTGGGAAACAACATTAATCAGTGATGTCTAAATAGTCTTAGAAAGTACATATGACTCGGAAAAATCACATTGGTACCTGCCCGGGCCAGGATCGAACCCGCGCCCTCGGCAACCAGAGGCGGGCCCTTTAACCACTGGGCCACCACTGACTTATCCACTACTTACTTTAACAATAGAAATAACAGAGATATTACAATACAATCTTACTAACTATAATAACTATGGTATAAGAGATATTGTAATGAATAATTAAAAAATAATACTAACAATATTAAATATATACATAACAAATATAAATGCACATACACAATTACACACATACTCACATAATAAATATATAGTTTGATTTTATTGTTACTCTTAACTATTATTATAATTTACTTTCTCGGTACATAATGGCTTTAATTCTTTTTTTATACGCACCTATTGTTAACCCAAAAATGGTGCTCGCTTGCCAGCAATAGTTCGACATTTTTTCAATTTAAATGACCTAGGTGTTCGTGTATTACGCAATGAAACTCGATTAGGTACCAAGAAATCTATGTAGCTTAACAATTGAGGACAATTTAAATTAGAATTGCAAATATTATATAAGGACATTGTACTCAACAGTTTTCTTCTCGATGCAAGATTCCTTAATTTATATTTATCGAGCAACTTAGAGTATGACAAATAAGAATGTGAAAATTTGTAATGTAATGAGCGCAAATACTGACGTTGCACATTTTCTATCTGATCAACATATTTATTGTAAATGGGGTTCCAGATTTGTAATGCGTATTCAAGTTGTGGTCTCATTAAACTGGTATACAGATATATGAGCGTAGACGGCTTTTTAAAATCTTTAGTTGATCTCATCACAAATCCGTACATTTTAGATGCGTTATTAATAATATTGTCAACATGCTTATAGAGATGAAGGTGCGAATCTATAATGATACCAAGATCACTTACATGATTTACTCTATTTAATTGAGTCCCATTCAGACAGTATTCTTGCTTAACTATATTTTTATTTTTTTTGTTTATATATAATTGGTTTCATTAAAAGAACTTGTCGCCATTTTAAAAATATTTGTGCTATCGTGGTTTTATATTGCGCATTAGTTCGTAGCATTATCGAGTATGTATCACCAGTGTGGAACTCAAGTTATAAAACTCATATTAACCGAGTAGAAAGGCTGCAGAAAAACTTCACCAAATTTTTAGCGTATAAGGATAACAGTTGTCGATATCATGCTGATTACATAAGACGTCTGAAGCATTTTAAAATGGATTCATTGCAGAAGCGCCGCTCCATTAACGACTTATTATTTCTGCATAAACTGATAAACGGTAAAATACAATCGCCAGGGCTTATATCTAATATCAATCTGTATGTCCCACGTAGTATACCTCGACACCCCATTAAAAATACGTTCGCTGTACCAAGACACCGTACGAATACAGGAAAATTTTCACCTATTACTCGACGCATCAGAACTTACAATTCTATAAACAGATTTGACATCGATATCCACCACCAAAATTTATTTAGTTTTAAAAAATCCTTATTATCCGCTGTCAGTGAGTAGTACATTAGTATGTTGTTATTATACTTTTGTTTTTAAAAATTATTTTTATTGGCTTATAATTATTTATTTTGTTTTTATTGCCTGTATTGTATTTATATGGCCTTAAACCTAATTAGTCTATGTTGGTTCTAGCTTAAGTTTTTAATATTATATAGGTTTTTAATAGTATTTAAGTTTTTAATATTACTTAAGAGTGTATTACTTTGTATTTAATTTAACAGTCCTGTAAATGCCTGTAGTGGTGTATCACACTGCACTGGTCCGTGTACTGTTATTACATAAGTGTTATTGTGAATATGCCGATGGTGTTTTAAATAAATAACTAAGATTCCCACCTCAAAGTAAGTTACTATTCAGGGCTTTTTTCAAACCAAAGGTTGAGAAGTATATAGTATATAACACACACATTACAAAAATAAAATATAGGTAAGACACTTAGTACATAGGCATAATGTTAAGTTACACTAGGCAACAAAAAGCCGTACACTTTATTAGATAAAAAAAAAATCATACTAAATTTCATTTAACTGTGTTGCGTTTCGTCTCGTTGCGTTGCGTTCCGTTTATTTTATGTGTCCCATCTTTCTTTTTTATTTAATTATTATTTTATTATAGATTATATTTACAAGTATCTTGTACGTAAACTAACTTTGGAAAAGATTATTCGATCTTAAAATAAAATTATATTTTTATTTAGAGGGATTTTGGATTAAATGACTCATGTGAGAAAATCAAGGTGAAACTGTGTTGTTATTGATCACTTTAGTTGCCACCGTGTTCATTACGATAACCAAAAATGATATTAAAAACAAACACAGTATTTACTATTAAGTCAACAAATATAAAATATACAATAAATTATATAAATATAACATAGAACGTATGTAAACCTAGTTTTAAACTCTTTACAGCCAAACTACAGAGTTGACCATTTATTGCGTAGTTAATAAGTGCCATTACAAATACTTGATACATAAATATAATTGTCGATCTGTCTGATCTGATTATTATTAAAAATTATGAAAAAAGGTAATTGAAAATGGCCACTGCTTGTCTGTTAACAACTTTTTCATCTTTATTAATTATTTATCAAAATAATTAGAACTTCGCTAAAACAACAACTTAAAAAGCCAATAATAATTCTTATATGCTATTGTATCCAAAAAGGTTCTCATTTGTTGTATTTTCCTGAAAAAAGATAAATGAAGTAATGGGGAAAGATTAATTATTCAAATCTTGACTTAAACAGACTCCTGCAATAGATATTTGTCCAATAACAAACTTTTAAGACTTTTTGCTTATTTCTATATATGTACATTGTTTTGAGAGGGCAACTACTGAGGACTGGCTTATTTTAATTTAAAATTCAAGTTCCTATATTGATTTTAAGAAATGTTGGGAACTCTAAACTCGTTTTTGTCTTAAAACATATATGTTTGTGAGAGCGAGGGGATCCTCGTGGAACCGAGACCAAGACCCTAGTTCTTTAAAAGACTTTCGAGTCTAGGCGTTCAGTACCGATGACGATGGACGGGTTTCCATTTTGTAGCAAAGCTATTCTTTACTCAAAATGTTAATTGTTAACAAATTCTAACAATGAATGTCAAGAATTGTAAAGGAGAGAGTCTACCACAGTGGCTTGTACGAGCGACTAATGTAGACTGAATTCAGTTCGATTACGCCTGGACTTTTATATGGTAAATCCTGTATTACAATTGTGCGTGCTTGAACAAAACTAATCACCTGATATATTACTAAGATTATTTACTTCCATGAAGTGAGTAATTTGAAAACAATTATAGTGAACAAATACACGTAAAGGAATATTTTTGATACGACTAGTCTCTCGGCACGACGTATAGGTTTGATAAATTATTTACACATGACATTGACTTGTGAACTTTTTTTAATCAGAAATTACATATTTGCAAAACATTCACTAGATAAAAATATGTGTAGAAATATAATCAAATCTCAGTCCAAATAAAAATAGATGGATAAAGTAGGTAGGTGGATAAAGTAGATAGGTAGATAGATAAAGAAATAAGATAGATAAAATAATCAGTATACTCATAGATCGAACCCGATAATAAATAATATGATTCATATGTTCATAATTATATTAGTTTTTGCTCGCAACATATTCTACATGAGATTTTAAAAATTTTACTAGTGTCAGAAAAATAACAGACAGTAGGTTAATTACACATCAGCATGTTATGTCAATGGTTGATAGTTATATAAAGAAAAAAACTAAAAGCAATGTAGAAGAGATTGAATGGGTAGAGAAAATCCATGACAATATTTGATAGTTTTTGTTTATGTGAAAGGTGGCAAACGAGCAGACGGCCTACTTGATGGGCAGTAGTGACCGTCACAGTGACCTTGGTTTATGAGGAAAGGGAGGGCCGGAGCAGGAAAGTCATTTGACTACAGCTAGGCTCTAAAAAGATTTTGATTTTGTGTTGTATCAGAATAATTTGATAAAGACGAGCGATAATTGTGTGCAGGCTTTAAAAAGGAGGTCAAAGGAAAAGGTTATAAAAATATTATATATTTAACTTGATTAAGCACATGTTTTATTTTTTACAAAAGGAAAACTATACAATTGTGGTGGAAAATGTAAATTTTAATTTTTTTTATGTCAAAGGTGGCAAACGAGCAGACGGCCTACATGGTGTAACGTAGTACCGTCACCCATGGACATCCGCAACATGTTTATTATGGATGCGTTACCAACCTTGTTTTTTAGGAATTGGAAGGGGTGGGAATAAGGAAATGGTAGGAAAGGGTAGGAAATAGGAAAAGGGCAACCGGCTCTCTCACTCATCGGACGAAACGCAGCCACTAAAGGCTACTTCACGCCGATCTTCTGTGAGAGGGTGGTACTTCCCCGGTCGAGCCAGCCCATGTTCGAGCTGTAGTACCTTACCACAGCTAGGCTCTACCACCTAAAAAACAAAATTTCTAGAATGATAGCATTATTATTTTGAGATATTTATAATAGTTGACAAAATGTTTTAAATAAAAAAGGAATAAAATGATGTTTCAACTGTTAATAATCGTTCAATTAAAATCTATAATTCCGTATTTTGTCGTAATGAACGTAAAGGGGGTTCAGAAAATTTATAATATGTATCATAAATTTCATTCCAGAAGCTACATCTCTCTTCCAACAATGCTCCTTTTATTTCAGGATCCTTCTTAAGAACCATGTGAGGAGATCCATTTGGACCTGCAGCAGGCCACATCGGAGTACCCGCAGCTGTAGGCTTTCTGTGAATATGACCAAAATCACAACATTAGATATTTAGTCTACGAAAAAGTCATACTTAGGGTTGCGTTCTCCAAAGATTTGATTTTATATATATAAGGGGAATTTCTCTCGATAGAAGTATATAAAACCTTATACAAATCAAAAAATAATAAAATTGGTCAATTCAAAATACGCATGTAAACGACTAATTTACATCGTAATCAACTAATATGCATATCACGAAAAAATAATACTCGATGACATATAATATATTATAAAGAAATTAAACTTATCTTTAAATTAAATATCTTGGATAAATACTTTGTTTGTTAATAACGTACCCATTCTTCATAAAATTTCCCCAAAGCTCCCTCACAACACTCCTCATGTTAACAAAATCATCTGAAACAGAATTATCTTTCACGAAGAAAGGATCGAACCCGTCAAGTACGGCGTTACTTTGTGCACAATGAGATGCTCCACGTACATTAGTGTGGGGTATAACTGGGGAATATTCGTCCGTAAAAGAATATTCATACAAGTATATTTCACTGTGTCCTGCTTTTACTAAGTGATTTACAACTCTTAATGTGGGACATGTAAAATATCCATCAGACATGTAATGGACAAATTGTAGAATAGCGTTATTGTCTAGTTCACTATCACCAAAATAAAACTCTTTAATTTTGTTAGCTACTAACAATTTTTCTTCCTCGCTTTTAAAGTTTAAGTTGATTGGTAAAAAGTTGGCAAAATTTTCGTTCATTTCTGTTTTCCACGAATCAAAATTTTCCATCAACATCATCCCTTCCATGTTTGCAAATCCATAAAGCATAGGTAGTTTCGGAAAATCACTTTGTTTTAAAATATTAACAGGGTCATCCTTTAGAAACATCTCTTGTCCATTATCTCTCTCTACACAAGGTGCAAAGAGAAATGTAAAATCCTTTCTATATATAAGGTTTCCTGATTGTAAAACTTCATATGACACCTTTTTGTAACTATTTTCTAATTCTAATATATCGTCAACATTTTCTATGCCTATTAGCTTGGCATATTCTTTTGCATTCTGTATTGGATCAACTTGCATACTGAAAGGTGAAGTACTTGCACCACTCTCCGGAATTACCTTATGAAAAAGTCCTTTAGCCATTTTCGACAACATTAAATGATCTACTGATGCTGACCCTGCACTGTATCCAGCTAATGTGACGTCATTTGGGTTACCTCCAAAGCTCGCAATATTTTTTTTTACCCATCGCAGCAGTGCCACTTGATCTTTCATACCAGCATTACCGGGGACGTCTTTAGTACCTAAGCATAGGAACCCGTGTGCTCCTAATCTGTAATTAAATGTTACTGCTAGAATGGTTTGGCTGCTAACTAATTCCTTTGGTGTAAGTAGAGTTCCGTGTCCAAATAAAAATGCACCGCCGTGTACATATACAACAACCGGAAGATTTTTTTTCTGTGTCTTAGGTACGTATACATTTGTAACCAGACAATCCTCTTTCATGATCTTCAAACCCGGAAAAAATCCTGTTACGTTTATTTGAGGACATATAGTTTGATCATCTACTGCTTCAAATATTGACATCCAAGCTGGTGGAGGTAAGGGGCTCTGAAATTGATATCAATAACAGCTTAGTCCCAACCTTAGTATATATAGAAGTATCTAATTAGTAATTATAAAAATAACACATGAATGAAAATTTTTCCAATTTATTGCTGTGCACATAAATAAGAATGCTTAAAATGAAGGGTTTACTAGTGTTATAAAAAAAGCTGTTATGAAAATTGTAATAAATTTTTTTTATAAGGAAAATTAAAAAAAATCATTTACAAACTTTACAAAGTTTAGTTAATGGTTGTTGCTACGAATTAGCTTTTCCTAATGTTGTAATTTATTTTTTTAAGACCAAGGGGCAAACGAGCAGACGGCCTACTTGACGGAGATAATGCGTCGCCCATGGACAACCGCAAAAGTATATTACGGATGCGTTGCCACCCTAGTGCTTACAATCAAATTATCAATATGAAGAAGGTTTGCAAAAAGTCTACTTATTGTTGTCCTATGCTAGAAAATGTTCTAATTAGAAAAAAAACCAGTGTTACGTCCTGTTAGGTTTTGTAATATTATTTATTCATCTTATAATCTGATACAATCCTTGTTATTTCATTGATAAATCATAACCAAATTAATGTGATCATCATAAAAGTAAATTGTTAAATTAAAGTTTTTAAGCTTCATATCTATAATGATATATAAAAAATAACGCCTGCGGTTTCTTGGAAGAAAGTTTATTATTGAATTAAGAAAATGATTTTCAATAACACATAGTGAAAAGGTTTTTTCCTCCAACAATACTTTTTCGATCAACCTAAGGAGATTATGTTATTAGATCTAAATAACATTTAAATTTTGTTATAGTCAAGGATTTAGATAATTTTGCAGTGATACCCGGTAAATTATTTAGTATGGAGTCCATATGAAACTCATACTCAAAGCTAAAAAGTTAGATCATCAAATAAACCCAACTGATTGGTCTGTTACCTTAAATCTCTGTGTACCGGTAGGTGCTGTAGCGTAAGGTATTCCATTGAATACGAATATATCCTTCTGGGGATCCTTGTATCCTCGAACTAGCCCAGAGTTTATTTGAACCAAGAGTGATTCACGATCCTTTACATCTTCAGCTAAGACTGGAGCAAGCAAGATTGATAACAAAACAACACACGACCGCATTATGGAAGTAACAAGATCACACTACTTAGTGGTCACGCAATATCACAACTGGCCTTTTATTGAAATACACAATCGGACACTTAAAAAGTAACAAATTAAATCTTCGATGATAGCAGTGTTGATAAAAATAGCTTCAGTTAATAATTTCATTGTAATTATATTTTTAGGATTTGTCGTATTATTTTAATGCAACAATGGGTTGCTTGTACATTATTTTAACACTTTCTAAAAATTATTGTTTTTACCCTTATAATTCTTCTTTTATTGTTATCCGTTTTATTTCACGTTCACGTCTAATCATGTCATGTAAACTGCTTTAGAAAAAAAATATTTAAATCTATTTAAAGAATAATGGTTCAACTTAGATATTTTTATCATATCCTTGGTACAATTATTATCAGTAATCGAATATTATTATTATTATTTTGAAGTGAAACTTCTTATGCCATTTCTTTCAAGGTTGCGTTCAACGTTTAACGCTTCTGGTCGGAGGGGGGACAAAATAGGCGAGATAGAGGGACTATGTGGCGATCGACGCAAGTGGGCAATCAATTGTGACTTTTAAATAAAGTTTATAAAGTTTGACTAAAAGAAACACAAATAGCAAATAAGAAAATACCGAATATATATTTTTTTGATTTTGTGCAACTGTATATGAAATATACAAATTTGTTAAATGTTTTTTTATATAAACAAAAAATAATTATTATTGATTTATCGATACATTTCCAAATAGTCTTAGAGATATTTTGTTATTATAATTTTTCTTCTTCTACCTGGCAACTTCCCAGCTATAGACAGGGTCTGCCTTACATGTTGTGTATAGTTTTGGCTATTTGTTTTTACGACCGGCCGCCTGCCTGACATCAACCCTCTTTTGGGAATCAACATTAATCAGTGATGTCTAAATTTTTTTTATTTTTTTTTTTATTGGAAAGCTGGCAAACGAGCAGACGGCCCACTTGATGGAAGGCGGTTACCGTCGCCCATGGACATCCGCATGTCTTTTAGGGATAGGGAGGGTTGGGAATAAGGAAATGGTAGGAAAGGGTGGGAATAGGGAAAGGGCAACCGGCTCTCTCACTCATCGGACGAAACGCAGCCATTAAAGGCTACTTCACGCCGATCTTCTGTGAGAGGGTGGTACTTCCCCGGTCGAGCCAGCCCATGTTCGAGCTGTAGTAACTGACTACAGCTAGGCTCTACCACCTACTACCACCTATATGTCTTAGAAAGTACATATGACTCGGAAAAATCACATTGGTACTTGCCCGGGCCAGGATCGAACCCGCGCCCTCCGCAACGAGAGACGGGCCCTTTAACCTCTAGGCCACCATTGACTATTTTGTTATTTTAATTTTATATAAATATATATTAATTAATGTCTAATTAATTATTATTTACTACATTAAACATAAAATAAAAAATGCTACTTTGAAAACATTCCTACTAATGGATTAACCGTACAAATTATCATTATCAATAAGTAGTTTTAAATTACTCAATTATATGTTTTACTGCTTTGTATAAAAATATTTTATCTTTAATGATAAGCCAATTTGAAGTGTGTAGAAATATAACGATTTACCTAATTCAGGTTTAATGATACTTTTTATATCAGTATTTTGATATATGTATGACTATAACATAAAGAAAATATACAATGATTACATGTTAATATTGAATAAATAGGGAAAAATATGTATATAGCTACAGTTCGCTATACTTTGGTTGTAAACCCGATACGCTTAGATAATATTCGTTTAAAAATTTATTTACATGTCAATATTATATACTGGTCACTTTTGAAATTCAGGTCATAAGATAAAAAAACCCAAAAATATTATTTTCTTTCCTGTAATATTCATATGACAATTAAATTTTTCACAAGTCATTGTAAGTCTTGTGATGTATTTTTGATAATTTTATTATTACTTTGTTTAATCGATAATGAATGACTCATTTGTCTAATATCGCAAAGATAGACAGACTTAATGCCACCATATCTAGAATTCATGAATCATCCAATATTTTTAAGGAATATATAGAATTCAAGGGTATTGCTAGGATAAGAATTCATGATATTTGTGACAAAGAAATTGGAAGCGAAAGAATGTTGAATATTTTTCTGTTATTATGGTCATAGAACGTTTCATTCAAACCACAAAGCTGAAAAACGAAACCAGGTTCGCCAGGGATATATTTTAAAACGGTAGTTTACTTTCATAAGAACATAGTCTTTTAACCTTTTGTATATTAGTCATTCGGAAATAATATAAATAAAAATTTATAATAAGAAGCATGTGTGATCTCCTGATATTATATATATATTCGGATATAATAAATATTCTAAAACGATTGAGAAATTTTAAACAATTTTAACAGATCTGGATAACAAATTTATCAGAATTTAGAAACAAATATTTTAAACATAATACACAATATAATCGACTAGAGGCCATATTCATTGGTTTCTAGGTGGACAATTTATTTATTTAAATATTTATTTCGGTAACCCAACAGTGCTTATAATATTGACATTATTAAAATATAACTAAACAATACTAAGCCCAAAACAGGATTACACAGTTAAAGTATAAGCGTAAACGTAACTTAAATATTAATTGATAACGGATCACTAAATTAATTAGCAAGACTGTTCGTTTTGTGTGTGCGCTTGTGTATGCGAATGTGTAAGTGTGTGTGGTTGTATGCGTGTGCGTGTGTATGCATTTGTGTTTTAATAATAAATTAAGATGTCATTCTTTTTTAAAGCCTTTTTAAATTCTGATTGCTTCATATTGAATATGTCTAAATGAGAAGGGCGTTATAGGTAGTGGTCAAACGATTTACGAAGCAGTTGCTTCCGTATTTTGTACGTCGATTTGGTACTCGGAATTGTACCTAATATAACCGTTCGTTGCAGTCTATTTCGTTTAACAGAAGTGACTAAAGCATCATCATATCACAGTGCTTGCGACGCGTCTCTAACGTTTCCATGTGGTAATGACGGCAAGCCTCAGTACAGTTATCAAATATTTTATGGTCTTTGTAGCTAAGAAACTCCATAAATTTTATTTGTGGAGTTTCAATTTATTCATAAAGTAGAAATTAATCGTTTTAAATTTTGTAATGGCACTCATTAACTACAGAATAAAAGGTCAAATATTTTGGCTGCGAAGAGTTTTAGAGTAGGTTTTACGTTTTACGTTATATTTATGTAATTATTTTGTTAATTTTATATTATTGATTAAATTAATAAATTCTGTGTTTTTTTTTAATATCATGATTGTTAATTGTAGTGAACACGGTCTACGGAACTACTAATTGATTATTATTATTAAATACACCAGTTTCGTCTTGGTTTTCTCACATCAAACACTTGGACTAAAATTCCTCTAAATTAAAATATCACTTTTTATAACTATTTACTATTTGAAACATTCACTTGAATGGAAGAACGATATGCAATATAAAATTATATTTAATAAAAAAATATATATATGTATGTCTAGTTGTATGATATTTCTTATAAATTGGTATGTTTGTAGAGTAGTTGCATAATTATTAATATTACGGCTTAAATGTTGTCTGGTGTCAATTTGATATTATATTAAAGTCTTGCGTATCAAGTAAATTGTTTTGTTTTATTTTCTATATTATATTTGTTAGTAGATATGTAACAAACTGTACTTGTCAAACTCTGGCTTGTACAGTAACTTAGTGTGAAATGAGAAATTGATGAATTTTATGTATATTATCTTATCTCATTATTATATCGTTATATGAGCAATTCTTGTATATATATTTTCATTAAATGTAGTATATAGGGGGTTTCGGTCGCGATAAATCGATCTAGCTAGGAAGCATTTTTAGAAAATGTTATTTTATTAAAAAAAGAGTCGTTTAAAATATGACTCTTCCTGAAATCTATTGCCGAATAGTAATACTAGTTTTTGCTAATTGCTTTAATTACGCAACAGCAGATAGCGTTGTTAAGAACCAGAAAGTCAATGAGTGTTTATTTTGAGGTTAGACTAAGAAATTAATTGTTGATTTATATTGTTTTGTGTCTTCTTTTTCACGTGTTCATTTATAATGCCTATACGAAATAAAAAAAAACACAAAATAAATACTATTCATTTATAAAATATGACTGTGAGTTACTATAATTATCTAGCGGATTTATATGTGTGTTTTAGGCGGAAAACATGTACAGAAGTAAGTTATTGTTCATTTCAATATAAAGGGTGTCTCAAGGCAAACATAAATAAACATAAATTGTTTGGCAACCAGCAGAGGTAGCGGGAGGGGAGGGGTGCATTATGATGGTGACAAGTCCGAATTTTTTATTAGAAATGTCGCAGTGATCTGGCAAGACCCGTGCGTACGCAATAGAAGCGTATTTTTGCAACGGATATTCGTAAGTTGATCCTTCTTCTTCTTCTTTTATATTCATAAATACATATTTGAGACTGAGTAGTATGTGATCATCAAATCCAATTTAAATTAGAATAATATATGAGAAGTATATCTTATATTACTTATGTAAAGAATTATACCGATATTATTTTTAAAAAGCGTTAAAATAATTTATAAACAATGTATTGCATTAAAATAATACCATAAATGATAAAAAATATAATTGCAAAACATATTATTAAGGAAAGCCATTTTTTTTAATATCGTTATCATACTGCTATCATTGAAGTTTTAATTTTAATAGATGGCCAGTTGTGATAGTGCGTGACTACTGAGTACTGTGATGTTTATTACTCACATAATGCGGTCGTGTGTTGTTTTGTTATCAATCTTGCTTGCCTCAGTCTTAGCTGAAGATGTAAAAGATCGTGAATCACTTTTGGTTCAAATAAACTCGGGGCTAGTTCGAGGATACGAGGATCCCCAAAAAGATATATTCGTGTTCAATGGAATACCATACGCTACAGCACCTACCGGTACAGAGAGATTTAAGGTAACGGACCAACGAGTTATGTTTA